TCTTGACCAGGACCACACCCCTAAATGCATTGAAGGAACTGCCATGTTATTGGTTGATTAGATAATTGCATTAATGAGAAATTGAACAGGTGTTCCTAATAATCATTTAGGTGAGTGTATACTGGTTATATTTGTAAATGGGTATTCATCGGTAGCTCAGCCTAGCTGCACTAATGCCTAGTAATTTCCTCGACAGTACATATGCTTGTAATGTGCAATTTGCTTTATTTGCATGTCACTTTGGACAAGAGCATTTGCTAAATAAAAATAAATTAAATGAAATGTAAGAGATGATGTGTATAGACCATCACTGAACAGCATGCCAAAGTTGGTTTCTGAGTCAGCATGAGAGTAACTTTGCCATGCATGCTGCCATAAGAATACATGGAGTTCTCCACCACCATGCTTTACTTGGACCATACAACAGTGCGCATCTTCTTGTTTTCCTTAAGAATTTGCCAAGCATTCTCATTACAGCCCAAGCAGGATAGATCCATGTCCATCAGATACACTACACAATAATCTGGGACAATGTCAGTTTTCATCATGAAGTAGACATTCAACCTTTGTTCCAGAATCACCCAAGTTTCTCTGTGTTACACTTTACACCACATTTCCCCCATAGGGTTGGAAGATGTCTGATTACAGTCCTAATTGGCCATACTTCAAGCCATAGAGAAGCCATATAATGACATCAGGACAGAGGATTGCCAGGGGAGGATAAGGCATTTCAGGATGTTTTTTCCAGTGCTAGTCAAACTGAGATGAAAATGAAGATCATGCATAGATATATCAAATGCACAGCACATCCAACTAAGTTTTATTTTCTCAACTGATATGAATGTTTCAGTCTACAGCAGTGGTTCTCAATCAGGAAGCCTCAGCAAGGACTGAGGGTGCTCGCTACGGATGGGGCCGATCCGATCCAGTATCGGTATCGGGTTCCGATACCAGCTTAATTAACGGATCGGAAATTTCCGATCCAGAGTTATGTCTACAATGCTGTCTGCTGAAATGACTTCACAAGTGATCCCGGGCTAGATGACGTGTCTGTGCTCAAATGAGACACTGAGAGAGATGACACGCCTCCTTTCAGGAAATCCTCTGCAGTTTGCAGGTAGCAGTTTAACATTGAGCGCCATACAACATGTCCGCTGTGTGGAAACATTTTACGGTCTAAACGCCGCAAAGTATGGAAAGCAACGTGCAATGTTTGCAAAGCCGTTGTTCCGAGAGGTGGAACCTCCGTCGCGACGTTCAACACTACAAATATAATTAAACACCTGAAAAAGCACCACTCCAGAGAGCACGAGGACTTTTTAACCAGGGGGGAATTTCTTGCTACACAGGCAAGAATTTACTGAATTTATGTTGATCAGATGCACATTGTTCTATTGATAGTGTGAATATTTATTTTTTATTTCAAATATTTGATATTTGAAAACCTTTTTTTTGTATGCTACAAGAGTCAGTGTACTTAATTAGTGTTGATCAGATGAAGCAGCCCTTTGTATTATTTGGAGAGTGGTAGTATGGAAGTTTACCCTTTTATTTCATGTTTAAAACTGTGTTGTTGCCTATTGGTGATTTATATCTGTGCCGTTTAATTCATATGGCAGGGTTTGTTTCTTTGATGGTGTATATTGCACTAGTATCTAGTAATCGTGTCTTGAAATTTAAATAAATATTCATTTAAATGGAAATTTGTTTTTCAGGATGGGATTTCTGCCGTTTTCTAACCTCATACTTACCTCAAGTTGCTTTTTGGGACACACATAGACTTGCTTGTAGAGAAGTTTATTACAGCCTCATAAAATCAACAATAATGATAATAATCATAGAGATATTAAAGCAAATAGAGCTCTGGTATCGGAATAGTATCGGTATCGGCAGATATCCAAATTCAGGTATCGGAATCGGATCGGAAGTGAAAAAATGTGGATCGGTGCATCCCTAGTACTCGCATAGTTCATTTGAAAAGAGTAGAAAAAAACGACATTGCTTGGGGGTAGCCCATATCAAATTTTTACAGTATTATATTTTTTCAAAACAACATATAGGATGATACAATATCGTTTATATCCATTTACTTTCAATGTATGTTAAAATTAGGGCTTTATTAAAGATTTTTAATATAAACCAATAGTATTCCTTCCTGGTTATAAACAGTGCCAGTGGTCAGTTGTGACACAGCTACAAACCATTCAGTTAGAGGCATCTCACGGGTAAGTAGATGGAGGGGAAAGACCAGGAATCATTGTCAATGGGGGTGGTGTGTGGCTCAGATAGCTAAGTCCCTATATCAGTAATCAGAAGATTTCCGCTAGGAGTCCTGGCCTTGGCACAACTGTATCATGTCTGTGGGCCCTTCAGCAAGGCCCTTAACCCTCAGCTTCAGGGGCACTGCACACTAGCTAACCCTGCACTATGACCCACAAGCTTATACTTGTACAAATAAAAGCTTGTTTGTTTTGTTACTTGGTTCATTTGAAAATATTATTTAAAATATCTTAATTTGTTTAATTTCATTGAAGGCCAATACCATAAAATGAGGGTGTTTTCAGTTATTAATAGCATGTTTAATGGTTGTTAGGCTTCTAACTTTGGAGCCATTTGTCAAATAAGTTAGGAGACAGAAGGTGAATGTTAACAGAGCAATATCATAAACTTAGTAAAAAAAAAAATAGACTGTTGGTTGATAGTAGAGTGAAACCTTATACAAGTCATGATCAAAAGTTTACATTTTTTGTAACCAAATTAAAATACATTTATATTATTAAACACTGATAATTCTGTCATTATTGCAGGATGCATAGAAGAGAAACAAATATCATAACCTGGGCAGGGGGGCCAAACATGTTTTCCTGAATACAGGGAGTCCTTGAACAAAAAGAGTTTGAGAACCATTAGTCTACGTATAGCACTTTTGCGACCACTTCTCAATTTATTGCGGTTTGGAAAAAAATATAAAGTTGTTCTATGACAAGTGTGTCTGGCAATTTGATGAGAATACACACAAATCATTCAGACCACAAACAAGTGTGCACAGTTTTGAGAAAAATGTTACAGCATTTGTAGAGCAGAAACACTGTTTTCTGAAACGTCTACAAGCATTTGAAGTTGTACCATAAGTATGTTTTTCAGTCTGCATTTTTGAGAAAATTTTCCAGTATTTCAAAAAGTGTATAAACAAAAACTCTATTAATGTTATGATTCTAGTATGCCCCCTTGTGGAGACATAATATAAATGCATACAGTAGAATTAAAAAAGGTTGCTTAATTATTGAATAAAATGTTTATAACACCTTGCACAACAGAGTCACCTCAAGGTGCTTTACATGGGTGTATTGTGATCCATTACATCATCATTAAGACAGAATAATACAAAAACAGGAAAAAGTGAAGACAAAAAAATGAAAGAAAGAAAGCCAGATGTGTGACACCCTGGGCACCATTCACACATGTGGGAAGGAAGACAGCATGAGTGGTCAGAACATAATTTATAAAAATCCACCCCCAACACACACACTTACTTTTAAACTTTAAACTCAATAATAACTATTATTTTACACCATAAAGCAAATCATCTGGTACACACAGATTTGCAGACCTCCTAAACACTTTTTGTATAACCGTGAACGCTCTTGAACCCAATTAGCATCACAAAGTACAGTTAGCCTTGTGCTGTCATTCAGACAGCACTACCATTCAATATTCCTGTAACTGCAATAAAGCACACACACACTCAGCTGTGATAATTTAGTCACACTGCTCCAAAGGTGCCATCGACCAATGAGAAAACAGCAATGCAGTTTGAATACATACTGTCAGAAGGAACAAAGGACAAACTACAGGAAGAGGTAATGAAAGAATTTAGGAGGTCAAGTGTTACGGTGAGACATGATGAAAGATGGATGAACCACATAGCGGCTCTCATCAATCAGGGTTTATTACACAAAACAGAACAAAGGGAGAGCCTGAAAACAAAGTATAAGGGGTCAATACAAGTAGGTAAGAACTAGAACTAAACTATAACTAACCAAAAGTGAACTAATACTAAAAATACAGATAGAAGACATGGGGCTTCAAACAAAGAGCAGAACATATAAAATGCAGGAACTAACACAGTAACAACCACAATGACCAGCAGATGAAACAAGGCAAGAACAGGCATATATATACACATTTATACAGTGGTACCTCAAACTCCTTAGAACTCGAATTTCTTAAAAGTCGAACCAACCAGTTCGAAAAAAAAATTACCTAGAGCTCAATCTGAATTTGAGAAGTCAAACCGCAAACGCCGACCTAAGATAACTTGTACGCGCGGGAATATGAGCCACGCGGCATGTCTTTCAGCTGAAACAAAGGGTAAAGCTTCAGTCTCAGCCTCACATTCGCTGCCATAGCACCGTGCATGTTAACACTAGCTGAATACATATATTTAGACAGTAAAAATACAATACATTTAGACAATGACAGTAACAGTAATTATTATATAATAAAATACATTTAAAAATAAAGATTTCTTATTCATTGTTTTAATATCAATAATAAACCATTAATACATTTAATTATAATAATATTGTCGTGCCCAGCGGGGACGGAACGGAGACAAAGGCGCAGACATCAGGGTATCAGGGAATACGGGGTTTAATTACAGGTAAGGCAGGCAAAACGCAGACGGACAATACAATGACCAGACTGGGGAAACAAACTGAAACACGGACGAAATACAGAGGACTAATGACAACAGCCAGAAACAGCTGATCACACGGGGATTCCACACGGGGTTAACGAGGGGGCGTGGCACACAGAAGGAGCGGACGATCGGGGCAGGACACATTTTTTGGATACATTTATTTTCTTACTTTACAAATTACTGTTTTGATAAATGTGCTTAGATGTGTTTAGTACAGTATATGCTCTTGTTTTAGCCTGTTCATTTTATGTTTAAAAAAACATATTTAGGTGTAATTTTTTGAGGCCGGGAACCAATTCATTGGTTTTCCATTATTTCTTATGGGGAAAATTCGATCACAACTTGAACTTTTTAGGATTCGATCCGGAGTTCTTGACAGATTAAATTCGAGTTCTGAGGTACCACTGTACTCATTATTGGCTAACAAGCAGCTGGTGTGGGCTGTTACAAACTAGTGGCAATGAGGAGCAGATGGGGTCAATCAACAGATACAGAGTTGTCGAAAAACCAAGGAAAAGTAAAACAAGAAAAAACTGAACATACTACAAACAGGGAACAGGGAGCAAAAACAAGCGGCAGTAACCGAAATACACAAACACATGATAAACCAAGAAAAACCACAAAATAAATGTCATATAAAAATAACAACAACCACCCACAACAGAAGTAAGTTTGGACTAGGGCTGGGAAAATAAATGAAAATTAATCAAAACTGACATTCATAACCTCTAATTGACAATCTTGCCCATGTCAGATACGTCACTTTTTTTTAATTCGGTGAAAAAAAAAAATCTGTTAATACAGTACTTTCCCCAGTGTGTGTTCATGTACTATCACTATAAAAATATACTACCGCGTGTATTATCATGTGACTCTGCCCCATCCAGTCTGCGACATGGAAGCAACTCAACGACATAGAGGTGAACTCAAACACCAAGCTGACTGAGCAACTCCAGCAGCTTGTAGCAAAGAAGAATGTCGTGTCCATCGATTGGACACATTGTGGCTTTAGTGAAGATGACACTGAACAAAAAAAGAGGTCAAATGTGAAGACTGAGAAAAAACAGTTTGCTGCTGTCACTGCTTAATTTCGTAGGGGCCATGATTACTGTACCACTAAATGTAGTGTAGATAAAGCACAAAAAATTGACACCAAACACAGGAACACAGCTATGGCACGTTGAACTAGGTTGAGAGGTACTACGAGCAATTCATAGTCATAAACATTTCAGTAGGTCAGCTAGCCTCGATCTGTTTTGTTTAGTTTTAGCAGGTCTGTTTTTTTTTGTCGTGTTCCGAGTTTTTGATCGAGTCATGGCTAAATTTCTCTCGACCGACCAGTTCAAGGTTCTTATTTTGGTAGACTTGAATGTGTCTCGACCATACAAGTTTTAGCAGGCACGGTTGAGTTCCAAGATTTAGGTTGAGGTACAAGTCAAAAAAAAATCAACAGACCTGTTCAAACGCCCGAGTTGGTTGAGTTAAGAGGCGTTTGAGTTCCAAGGTTCCACTACTGTAATTTGAAAAGCGTTTGAAACAGCTGTACTGTATATTTTGAATGAGTCAGTAAATAGTGACACTGTCCGTTTTATTACCTTATATTCGTGTAATAATTACACAAATGTCAATTAGATGGCATTCTGCCTGAGAGAACGAAAAAGAAAAAAAAAATTATTATAATGATCCTCAGCTTACTGTGATCGATTTCACCCAGACAGATGTGATCACTATGGTTTTTTAGTTGGTTTTTCCAGCATGTGAATTTTGCTACCAGAGCGGAAAATTGCCTGGACATTGTTTACACTAACTTTCGTGAGGCCTACAAGGCCGCCCCCACCTCGGCTACTCGGACCATATCAGTATGTTCATGGTTCCTGCATACAAGTCGCTGCTGAAATGCTCCAAATCGGCCCAAAAAAGCATCAGTGTGTGGCCAGCTGGTGCTATCTCGGCCCTCCAAAACTGCTTCGAATCGACCAAATGGGACATTTTTAGGGAGGCTGCAATGAATGGTGACTCCATCAACCTGGAGGAGTACACAGACTCTGTGACTGGTTACATTTCTAAGTGCATAGAGGATGTTACTCTCTCCAAGGAAATCACCACAAGAGCCAACCAAAAGCCCTGGATGATGAGAAAAGTGCGCAAGTTGCTCAACACCAGAAACGCAACCTTCAGATCTGGAGACAAGGCTGCTCTCAGGGCGGCCAGAGCCAACCTGTCTCGTGCAGTGAGGAGAGTCAAGTGGGACTACAAGCAGCAGATCAACGAACATTTCAACAATACCAGAGACACACGGCACATGTGGCAGGGCATTCAAGTCCTCACAGACTACAAGCCCATCCCACACAGAAATGATGCCACTCTACCAGACCAGCACAATGATTTCTTTGCACGGTTTGAGGAACAGAGCAAGGAGCCTGCTAGGAAAACGACACCACCCTCCGACGACCTGGTACTCTTGTCACTCCGCAGATGATGTGAGGAGGACTCTATAATCAATCCGCGCAAGGCTGCAGGACCAGATAACATACCTGGTTGCGCTGACCAACTCTCTGGTGTCCTCATAGACATCTTCAAAACATTTGTCTGCCAGTTGTCTGCCACAGCAGGCTTCAAATCCACCACCATCATCCCAGTGCCGAAGAAATCATCAGTGATGTGCCTGAATGACTACCGACCGATCGCACTGACCCCAGGCATCATGAAGTGCTTCGAAAGGCTGGTCATGGCCAACATAGAGAAGTCTCCCTGCCTCTCTAGACCCCCTTCAGTTTGGATACCGTTCCAACAAGTCCCCCAATGATGCTCTTTCAACTGCCCTCCACCTCTCTCTGACACATCTGGACAAAAGATTTTAGCCCCGCCTTCAATACAATCATCCCACAAATTTTGTGAAGCTGAGTGGGTTAGGCATGAACACCAGTCTCTTTAACTGGATCCTGGATTTCCTGACGGAGAGGCTCCAGTCAGTTCAGATGGGATGCAACATCTCTAACACCATCACCTGAGCACAGGAGCTCTGCAGGGTTGCGTACTCAGACCTTTGCTCTTCACCCTGCTGACTCATGACTGTACAGCCACACACAACACTAACCACATCATCAAGTTTGCGGATGATACAAATGTGCTGGGACTGATAAGCAGGGATGATGAGTCTGCCTACAGAGAGGAGGTGGAGCGGCTGACCAAATGGTGCAGGCACAACAATTTGTCCCTCAGCGTTGACAATACAAAGGAGATGATTGTCGACATTAGGAAGACACATCCTGCACATTCTCCATACAACATCAGTGGCCCAGCTGTGGAGACTGCGGAGAGTACCAAGTTCCTTGGGGTGCACATCACCGAGGAACTTACATGGACAACAAACACCACCTCCTTAACCAAGAAAGCCCAGCAAAGACTACACTTCCTGCGACGGCTGAAACGAGCAAGCCTTCCCCCTCCTATCCTCACCACGTTCTATAGAAGGACCACTGAGAGCATTCTAACCAGCTGCATCACCGTCTGATACAGAAACGGCAACGTTTCCGATCGCAAGCGCCTGCAGAGAATAGTTACAACAGCCAAGAATATCATCAGGGTGCCTCTCCCATCACTACAAGACACATTCACCACAAGGACTGTTTGAAAAGCCCGCAGCATTGTGCAGGACACCTCACATGAACTGTTTACCCTGCTGCCATCCAGGAGGAGATACAGCAGCATCACAGCGAGATCAGCCAGGCTGCATGAGTGTTTATCCCCAGGCTGTCAGGTTTCTGAACACCATGCTGCAAAGTATGTGTTTTCTACTTTTAACGGAACTTGATTTTTACATTAAAACTAAAATGTGACCTTTTTCATGACATTTTCATTTCAACCGATTTATGCTTTGATTTCAGTTGCTTGAAGTATTCAATGAATAACCATAAATGATTCATCTCTGTGTGTTTCCTTCAATTATTCTTTCATTAAAAAAAATATCCCCGCTTAAATAGTTGAGCATATTTACGGTACAAATCTTGTCTATGAAATTTGAGGGCTATAAAAGCAAGAAAAAAAGTCATTCATTAATTGTAATCGAGGTAAAATGCTCAGTTAATCGTGATGCTGGGTGTGTAGGGCGTAGTGCGTTCACACTTACAACTAAGCCAAAATTCAGTGCACTGAAATTACCCGGAGCACGCAGTGCAGAATGATGGACACTACTCGCACTAAACGGACGCCATTTTGACTACGTAGCGGAAGGGGAGGGACTTTCGGCAAGTTTTTATTGTTAAATTAAGGTGGATAACAACACAGACATGTAAGCCCAAGTGGAGGCAACTGCTTCATATAAAGCTAAATAACGTTAATAAAATTATTTTACTGATGTATACTGCGGTGTCACTCTCTGATGACAGTTATAGATAATTTGTTTGAGTTTGCGATTATATCGACTTAGAAGAGTTTGCGCACGTAAATGTTAGCAGTTTTTTAGTAGTAGATAGGTTATATACACGCAAATAAAACCACAAGGAAATTCATTGTAAACAAAACACGGCAGATATTTTGGCGCGCTGGAGAATCGCGATCAAATGCTACTCCGTCACTTCCGGTAAGTACAAAACATTGGTGTTCCATTTAAGACAGCACTTACCCATGGTAGTGTGCACTACAGAAGGAAGTGCGCACTACACCTGTGCACTGACGCAAGTACGCGATTTCGGACACACCCACTGATTTGAGGTCATATCACCCAGCAATGGCCGACTGCTTAGCCCCTGAAGCCACACAGCGGCCAACGGAATTGGGAAACACCAGGAGTGAAAAATACAGGATGGCTGGTGACACTTACTGGCCAAACAGAGAACAGACATAACAAAGGGGCAGGGCATAGACCGAGCCTGACAGTCAAAGGAGACGAAGAGGAGGAGCAAGACATCAAATAAAGATTAAAGATTGTGATTATAATAGTAAAACATTATAATATGAATTAAAATTCGCTTGTAAAGTAATCTGGAAAACCAAAGTGTGTGCAAGAGTTGCTATCAAATCAAAATGCTGTGTCGATATCTAATTACAGCAGAGATTGCCTCTTTTCAGAGATATTAACAAGACTTAGAACACATTGCAAAAGGGCTCAAAACGCAAAAATCTCTATCTGCAGTGGACATAAAAAGTCTGCGATGAAAAACTGCCTGGCTTGCTTGAAGAAAGATATTACAACTGGAAGACTTGGATGAAATATACTGCTAACTTAACCAGTCACGGGATTCTTATGTCTAGCGATAGAAAAAAAAATTACGCTTTATGAACGATTTGCTGTGTTTTTTTTTTTTTTTTTACTCCAATAGATAGTGCTCCTTGTTCATAAAAGGGCACAAAGTATGCCGCAAACCAAACCAAGGGCACCATCTAGTGGAGTCAAAAAGTACAGCAAATGGTGCATGAAGCATCATTTTGTCCATCACAACTCACACCTTTTCCAGAGTATGAGAAAGCCCATCTGTTACGTCAGGTACCAACTACTTCTTTTTGATTGGTCCAAGCCCAGTTTGAGAAAAGCGTGCTTGAAACGTAACCTGCTTTGGAGTAATCTACTTTTAAATACTCAAGTCTGACACAAATTTACATCTAAAGACAATGTGTCAATCACAGAGTTTTTTGTCACAGACTTTGTTTTTTCAAAGATTGGGGATCTGGCAGAGTCACTATTCACAAGACTGCAACTAGACTTTTTTTTTGGGATTATCTTTTCTTCTATTTATTATTATTGGTATTCTTCTTCTTATTACTATTATTCTTCTTTTTGGGATTATTTATGCCCAGCTTTTTTCCTTCTCCACTCAAATCACGGTACAAATGAAAAATACGTTAGAGACACACTCTTACTCACTCAACACGTAATTCTACCAGTTTGAACTCCTTTTCCACATTCCACCACTCCACCAAAGGACCACTGCTTCTGAAGCCTAACAGAGTCTCCTCCATGTCTGTCTACCCTACCTGAGATCCTGTATCCACTTCGCTGCTTCCTATTGGTTAACAATTTCCACTAGTGATGGGACATATAATACAGAGACTTCGGAGCTCGCCTTGTCAAAGTGAAGCCCAGTGACTCAAAGCTGGGAGTCGGAGCTTGCTTCATTTATGCAATATCACGTGACCGATGACATCCGATTCATCCTTTGATGTCAGGGGTGTTGGATCCTGTCGGCTCTTCGAAACTGAAAATGGCAAGAGGTGATCCTCAAATGTTTTGAAATAGTCTGAGCTGATGTCTCCCAATTAGGTGAATGAATATTGAAATGGCAAAATACAAAATTACACCTCATTCTCTCTTCCCAGTCCCCCATCTCCCCAGTTTAAAAACTCCCCTCTAAACCGCAATAACTGAAAACGGTCACAGGCATTGTAGCACCTAATTGGCAGCAGGTTAACAACAATTAATGCGTTCGTCCCAGATCCAACACAATATTTTATTGTAAATACATAATGACTGAAAATACATACAAGTTAACCAAAAGAAACAGTGTTTAAGATTATGTTTAGCATAACACAGTCTGACCCTGCTGTCATACCAGCCACATTATTCATTTGATGCAAATGCATATACTTCATTCTCAGATTGTTTGAAGCACTGTCTAACCCCACTAGGGGTCTCTCTATGTTTGGTAAAAAAAGGTTTGAAGACTCTAAACATGTTTTGGCACTTTATTGGAAACGCCAGAAAGCTTCATGAAGCTTCATCGGCCCATCATTCATATCCACGTCACTTACAGCCATGCCCGGATCAATGTTGAGATCAATCAAAACATGTCAGTTTCGTATAATATATTCATTTTCAATTTTGAGCAAAATGTAAAATCTAGTGATGAACAATGAAACAACTGCTGCACATATTCTATTAAAGATCCAATGCAATTTATACTACTGCAGTAAATCATCATTAAAATTAATTTCTGCACTGGAAAACTACCCAGAAAAATTTCACTGAAATGTTCACCTAGAATCCTATATGAAGGTGATGGTGGGGCATTGCTCAGAAAGGTTAGACAATAAATACTAACAGACCCCAACCTTGTGCCCTGTGCATCCTGGGATAGATATCCAGTGCAGGATAGCAATCAGCTAAGTTTTTATAAAAGATGAATGGTTAGATGAAATGGGAATTCAAAGAGATTTTCTATAATTAAGAAAACCATAGCTTTATACCCTGCAATATGTATACTTAATACAGTTCAGAAAAACACTGCTCAGTTAGCTGAATTTTCTATACCTCAACTGCCTCTTTGTGTGTATGTGTGCCTGTGACATACTTTCTGTATAGTAGATAGGGCTGTGCGATATGACCAACATCTCATATCCCGATAAAGATATATATCACGACTGCACCTCGAATTTATGGATTTTTATTTAACAGATCTGCTGTGGTAGGAATTGTAGGACAAAAATCTGTAAATAAAAAGGAGCAAGTTCATACATGTACGGCGATCCACAAATATCCAAAACCCTTTTCACGTGTACAAATCACTCCACAGCACGTCTGCGGGTCCTTGAGCAAGGCCCTTAACCCCCAGCTCCCTGGCCGCTGCTACGGGTGGCTGCCCTTCGCGGACAACTTACTCTACAAAGAGCAAGCTGAGGGAGGCGTAAAGACAATTTCCCCAGGGGATTAATAAAGAAATCAATTATAATAATAATAATTATTATTATTATTATTATTATTTTTGTGGATATGATTTTACATAACCAATAAAAATACATATTTTTGGATAGTGATGTATTTCTGATCAGCTGTGGCATATGGAGCCCCTGAGACATCTGGATGGGAAAATATTTTTTTTGAAACGAGTTTAAACCTTAACTCCAACACCTTGGTAAAGTTAGCTTTATATGCAGTTTTCTGGCTAATATCTTTCAATGTTTGTAATATATTTGTTTGTATGTATGCACTTCACATTCAGTAACCTAACTGTCTTGCTTAAAGTCACTGGCGGCGAATGGACACAGTGGAGTTTGCTTTTTCTCCCCGTGTCGTCGTGGGGTTTCCTCCGGTTTCCCCCCCACAGTCCAAAGACAAGCTGAGGCTAATTGGAGTTACTAGATTGCCCATAGGTGTGCATGTGTGAGTGAATGGCGCGTGACTGTGCCCTGCGATGGGCTGGCCCCCTGTCCTGGGTTGTTCCCCGCCTTGTGCCCGTAGCTTCCCGGGATAGGCTCCGGACCCCCTGTGACCCAGAAGGATAAGTGGGTTGGAAATGGATGGATGGTGTACATTGTTCTAGTTTAATGCATACAGCACCCTTTACAAGACATGCCTATATTATTTAGGTTTATCCATGCCATCACCTTGCAGCAAATAGCAAGTGTAGTGGGATCGCGAGATTGCAAGTGAACACAACCTGTGTTACAAAGAGATCGTAGTTATGTTTGCAATGAACAATATGTAAAAGGAATCTCCTGAGATAACACCATATTGTTGGAAGTAATGAAGTTTTACAGTAAAACAGACGTTGCCTCTTGGATCAATATTTGTCCTCTGCAGTGATGCAGCCACTGAGTAGTTTTGTCATTGTTGTCATTTGTTATGTAACAGTACCTCTTGTAGTTGTTATTTTTAATTTAAGGTTGTAAGATAAATGAACCAGATTCCAGTACCAATTACATGCATGGTACACCATCCAGGTCTAAAGTCTGCCTGAAAGAACATACCCTGCAGAACATCCACAACATTTACAAAGTTTTAGACATGTTTTAGAAAATGTCCGCAGCTGGCAATTTTTGCTTGCTATCGATGTTAACTGGAATACCTTTTCCGGTTGGATGAAGGAAGCACCGTTGAAGCATGTGGCTGCTGATATTTGTAGGTTGCCAACAATGGGCTGTCTCTCCCACTGTCTGGAGTAATTGCAGTTTGGACAACGCTGAGTGAATGCCACGTAAGTCCCCATTCTTCATCACTGGAAATCACAGTCTCTCTTACACACTGGACAGTTTTCAAACAGCTGTCTGAGGCAGATTTCAAAAGCAATATATTTTGTGTCACTGTACATGGCCCATGTCTCACACCTAACATAAAACAAAATTAAATTTTTGCTTCCCAAATATCCCCCCCCAACTCTAATGGATAATAATAGGAATACACAGCTAATAAACAAAACTTACGATATGTCAGATTCCTTTGTAAGTACAGAATCTTCGGGGTTGTAAGCTGAGTCCAGAATCTCTTCTTTGACTTCAGTGGAAGTCTCTCCTTCCTCCTCCTCCAATTCCAGTCTAGGTCTCTTGATAGGTTGCAACCCTGAACCCTTTATTGATCTAGAGGCCAGTGGTAAATCTGGGTAATGGGAAGTAGGTCTGGTGCCAACACTGTCAAAAGACACCATTGTCTGGATGCCTGTTAATAAAAGAAAAAATACCATTATTCTGCTGTAGCATAATAACAATGGTAAAATTTGAGCCTGAGACAAGTCAAATGTAATAATAATTTTAGAAAACTATACAAAGCACTATTTCCTACAGTCCACATAATTGTATTTATATGATATACAACAATTATGGGTACTTCATCTCAAATACAAAAACCATCTTTATGCCTTATACCTTTGCTTCTCATGTGCGCTTCCTTCAGTGTTCCCCTGGACAACTGTGTGCCTACTGATTTCCGCTTTGCAAATGCTACGGATTGTGTTCCCACAGAAGCAGTCCGTGGAGGGTCCGTTTGGCATTGAACATGTTGAAATCTGGTTGTAGTGGAGTGGTGTTGGGTACCGGGGTCCTGCTGTGATGTACTCTAACATAAAGACGAAAATTACGTTGACTAATTTTGTATTAGATGAAAACAGTCAGGAAAACGTCGAACAACACTGTACCCTGTGAAAGTAATAGACCACACATACACATATGAATACGCGCTCAAAATGTCTCTCTGCCGAGTTGTTTAGGCTGCAGAGAACTTCATGCCTGTCGCAGCACTGCACTAAAGTGAAAACTACCGAGCATTTGATGATGATTTCTAAAGCAATGTTTTCCTCGAAAGGGATACATTATACGAAGATTACGACTGAAGAAGGTTTTAATTGATTAGACAGAAAATCCGCATGCTTTCCTCTATGGAAACGTTTTTGTGTTTCTTTTTGGGGACAATTCGTTGTAATATCCGGTGGTTTCCAAGGTGTTCGTGAACGGACATAGGATTCTCTGCAGGAAGGCAGAACTCGGCGTAATACCTGGGTATTAGAAATTTAGCTAGCCGGATAGCAGAAGCCTACAGCGGAATGTGACCATAACATTACAGCTTGTAATCATAAATCCACTTCCACACTTGAACAGTAGTAGTAACTACCTTGTTTGTTTTAAACACCACAAATAATAATGCATACTTACAGGTTGTGAACCTGTGTCTCCCGTCGGACCACATACAGTTGGAACTGCCCCGTTCTTCATTACTAACAACTGCGAAAATCCAGCGTCGAATTGCTTTCGGTTTTTAAAGCAGTCCTCTGTAAAGTGTCGAGCACACAGTGAAACATTTGGAACCGTGGAGGGAACAGTGGCAAAAATGAATTTCAACCATCGAGTTCTTTGTGGTTCTGCCTTCGGCAGAACATACAAAGGACACTTCTCCTCGCAGAGCAGAACACAACGTCTTCTCGACATGTCTCAAACAACTCCTAGGTTGCGGTCAAATATTATGTCCTGTGTCCTTTTCCTAGTCACTTTTCATTAACCTCGATGGAAACGTCATGAGATGAAGGAAAAGTGTGCAGTAAAAGTCATAAGAACCTAGAAAAAAACCGCGATGCTAACAGAGCCAGACTGCTCTAGACTACACAATTATGCGACGGCGAATGTTATAGACGTGGGTCCGCCGTGTAAAACTACAATGTTCAGAAACTGAACTACAAAACACGGCAGCTTAACTACGTGCATGGTTACCGTGTTGCTTCACGCTCACTATATAAACGTGGACAACACGGTGAAAAATATTACTACATTACCAAGGTTGGAATTTAACTATTAAAAGGAATATAGGCTACAGGTCCCGAAACTGAAACATAACGACTGTCACATAGAGAATGGTTGCTCACCTTCCTGTCCACACATTTATCGAGATGCATTTCAGTATGAAAATAATTGTTAAATTATGGAAGACAGGCATAATATGTATCCCATGCTAAAGGAGATAAATGAAACAGTGAAGCACCAGTCCTTGACATTTTATACAATTCGAACAGCTCTTGTTATATCTGCCACACTCCCGGGTTATTTCACCGGGTATAAGGCTATTCGACTGCAGCCATAGCTTCCATTTTAGTAGTTGCTGTACAGGTGGTGGGTTGTGTGTGGGCGTGACAAGCTTACAGGCAGATGGCCAATAAGGATTGTTTACGAGGCGACCTCACAATGACACAGAAGTAAGTGCTGGGTTATGGGTTATGGCCAGTAAGTCGTATAGCAGTCCTGTAGAAGATGACATGATCTGAATAGTTAGGAATAGGATAATGGCCACTGTGAAGTGATTTAGGTTTGACTGGATTTTCTGTTCAGCTTCCCTCATGGTTAACCCATGGTTGATAACATGGTCTACAACAGCATCTCTGATTTCATCAGAAATTAGACATCTTTGTATTGTTCCCCAGGTATAGGTAAAGATACATCACAATGAATTTTAAAATAATATACCAAATACCCTAATTTTAAGTGTATCTTTCAGGGTTGGCGCCCATCTGATCCTGCCCTTGTCCTCTCCCTGTTTTGGCCAACAGGCGTCACTGGTCATCCCACCTTCCTGCTCCCTGTCACATGCCCTTCAGCCCCAGTGTGCTTTCCCCAGATGACACAGCTGAGCGTGCGGCTTAGAGACTGTTACCCTCCTGTCATGGGTTTGAGGCTGGCTAAGGACCAACCTCATCCGTTTAATTATATTTATTTGGTTTTCTTTTCCCCAGTGTTTTGTTAAATTTTCTACTGTAGTTTCCCTGTCTTAGTTTTGCCCTCCTTGTGTTCTGTTCTGGTTTTGTATTGTACTTTTGCTTCATGTTAATTTTCTTAGTGTAGTACTTCCTTTTGTTTCCTTAGTTTCAGGTTTGTAGTTCCTTAGTTCTGTGCTTGTTAGTCTTAGTTACTTAGTCTGTGTCTTGTTGCTAATTGGTGATTGTCTCATGTTCTGCTCCTGCTCCTCCTTGTTAGTCTGGCTGTTTTAAGTGCCTGTTTTTGTTTTACTCATTAATCAGCCATTGTGGTTAGTTACTGTGTGTTTGTCACTCTGTTCAGGGCTCAGCCCTGTTCCCTGTGTTGCTCACTTCTCAAAGTATTCGCTTTGTGGTTACTTTGTTAAATTCTTATTTCTCCCATTTTGTTCTGACCCCTCGCAGTCTTTTTATTTTGTGCCTTTGCCAGTGTGTTCTGTTCTTGTTAATAAATCCTTTTTGTCTCTGAGTCGCTAAATGGGTCGTCACCTTTTTTCCTGCCTGTGCCATGCCATACTGTAACAGTATCAACCTAGAAAATATAGTAGCCATAGCATGTATCAAATAAACTACTGTATTTTTAAAATACTTTTCCAAGGGAGCATGAAATCACTTTGCAAACCTTCAATCTTGGGTTGCACCAATACCATTTTTCAGACTGAGTATGAGTACATTTGTGTACTTGCTGATACCAAGTACTGATAAGAATACTTAAGGCAGTATTTTTACCACTGAAAATAACAATGACCTAAACTGGCATAACAAGACTAATACTCAAATGAGAATTTGTCTGGACCCCATCAGTTCATTTACAAATTTCACGGGGCGTTACCAATGGGTGAATTACACTTGGTGAAGAGTAAAATCCTCATCTATCCACTGTGTGGTTAAACTAAGGAGAGACATCAGGCATACGCACTGCTACTCCATATATCACTTGTAAAGCTGATGGCTGAAAAGTCATGCAGCATTCCGCTAATATGCTTTTTCACAATGTTGAACACCTTTGGTAAAACAACATAATTTGTATATTGACTGTGTGAACCAAATAATTTTCTGTATTGTTTTTGCTTTTTGACTTACGTGCGTCTGACCTTCTGTGATCGTTAGGCAAGCTCCAAAAAATATTCCGGTTTAATTGGTCACGGGCAACTCGCAAATGACCTGAACCGTGAATGTCAAATGTGCAAATGTGAAGGGGGTATATTACTGTTCTTGCAAAATATTTTAATCTGAACATTAGCTTTAATAACCTTACAACCTTACTCTCTTCACCATTTGTGTCTGTCTCAGGACCTCTCTTTGGCTCCCACTCTCTCCATCCCAGCCTCCTCCTCTTTCTTCTATTTTTTATTTTTTTAAATCATCAGCTATAGATCAGTTCCTTTTTAATACCACAGCTTCACTTTAACACCACTGTTTCACATGTTTTATCATCAGTGTGTATGTGTAGTTTATGTGTACAGCCAAAAGTTTTGAGAATGACACAAGTATTGGTTTTCACAAAGTTTGCTGCTTCAGTGTTTGTGAACCATTTTGTCAGATGTTTCTGAAGTATAATTACATGCATTTCATAAGTGTCAAAGGTTTTGATTGACAATTACATTAAGTTTAGACAAAGAGTCAATATTTGCAGTGTTGGCCCTTCTTTTTCAAGACCTCTGCAATTTGCCCTGCCATGCTGTCAATCAACTTCTTTGCCAAATTCTGACTAATGGCAGCCCATTCTTGCATAATCAATGCTTGGAGTTTGTCAGAATTTGTGTGTTTTTGTTTGTCCACCCACCTTTTGAGGGTTGACCGCAAGTTCTCAATGGGATTAAGGTCTGGGTAGTTTCCTGGCCATGGACCCAAAATGTTCATGTTTTGTTCCCTGAGCCACTTTATCACTTTTGCCTTATGGCACAGTGCTCCATCATGCTGGAAAAGGTATTGTTCATCACCAAACTGTTCTTGAATGGTTGGGAGAAGTTGCTTTCTGAAGATGTTTTGGTACCATTCTTTGTTCTTAGGCAAAATTGTGAGTGAGTTCACTCCCTTGGCTGAGAAGAATCCCCACACATGAATGGTCTCATGATTCAGGTCTCAGATTGGAACGACACAGGACTGATAGTAGCGCTCATCTTGTCTTCTCTGCAAAGATCATCAAGGAGCAGAGAAAAGCCCGTCAGCCTTAGGAGAGGCAGAGAACATCAGCCCAAGAGAAGAGAAGCCCACAAGAAGCCCTCCGGTGAAGGCCCAGCTGGACAGAGAACTGCAACCAAGACAAAGCTTCACCAGAAGAGAGAATCCAAGGAGCTCCACTCCACTGCTCCAAACGCCACACCTTCCTGAGTGCCATCATCTCATCAGACCCTGCAACCAACTACAAAAGACCCCCCCCCACTCTGCAACCAAGTAAACCAACTTCCTTTCATTCTAACAACCTAAGCTGTTCTGTTAACCTGCCATATGACTTTAGGGTCGTGTTTCTACAAACGGGGCTTGCTTTGCAGAACAGTATTTTCTTTTAAGGTTACTCATTTAAATCCGGTCATTGCATTTTCATAATTACATTGTTTGTTACCATTCCGTTATTTCGTGTTTGTTGTTTGTGTTAAGTGTAATGTCTGTCTTATGTTAGTTGTACTGTTAGTTAGGAAAAAATGCATGTCTTTTACACAACTTCAGCCTCCGTTCATTGAGTGCTCACAATAGTCCCTGCCTCTGTGCGATCTTGCTACACGCTCTGAACCTCAAACTCGCCTGAAACATCGCGAGACACTCTCATCGGCCGTGAGGGGAGCTTCACTACCAATCGTTTACATTACCTGTTGACGCAGCTCGGTGGACGAGCCTTCTAACCCAGGTTACTAAGTGATACTGGTAATTAGTGAATCCCATTTAAGTCTCACATTAACAGACTCACGGGGATACCGCAATCGAGTTTGGAGAAGCCGACCATTCGGCATAACAATTGGTTAATAATCAGCATTAAATAATAATTAATTAAACTTTAATTAATTCAAAAACAAATTGGTGGATATTAAATTAAAATTTACCTGAGCTAATAATTCTTACAAGTAATACAACTCAAATTAATAGTAACATACAAACACATCACACAAAAGGTCGAGCATGGTAACGTTAGTATAGTCAAAGATGTTAAAATGGTTAAGGTGCGATAAAAAGTTTGTAACAATAAATTTATCAAAACATGATTGTTAACTTACATTAATTTGTATCATCAAAAACAAAAAGAAAATCATTTAGATCATTCTGAAACTATTTAAGAAAGAAATGATTTTCAACCTACCTTTCCAACCAAGTGTACGCGACGGAATAGACTTTTCCTTTTTTCTTTTCTTTTAAAGCTGGTTTAACAAGGAACAAAATTTTAAATCGAGATTTTAACATCAAAATTAGGACTTTTTAGGACCTTTCTAAGACCTCAAAAAAAACCAAAAACATTTTCACGACCAAAAAAAAAAACCATAGCTCTTGCCATTTTAAATGTACTTCATTTATACATGAACTGCACAACGATTTTAAAAGATCCACTTTTGTTACCACCAAGTGATGCTGTGCACATTGTGAGAAGAGGAGTGTGGTTTCACAGAGGCATATAAATTTAAACCCTAAAGCTCAAATAAATTGTATTCCATGTAAAAAAAAAATTATGTTTCTAATGTCATACTTGGCAAACTTAGAGGCTACTTAAACTGTGATCCATAGTAGTGCAATTCCACAAATGCTCCAGTAGTGGTCCAGTGTTTCAGATGAAGGTCTACTTGTTTTGATTTAATTGATTTGTTTAAACTTTCATCAAACATAGTTACAAAGCTGTCGTCATTCACAGCTGACCTCAGCTCACATTGGACGAACGGTGCAATACCGAACCTAGATATATACGCGG